TCGTCAGCAGTTTTAGGGTTGTTAACTACACCTCAGCTCCATTATATAGTAAGATGCAAGAACGATCCTTCGTTTGGTGAAGCGAAAGAGATTGGTTACTACGTCAGGATTTCCGATGCATTCAAAGAGCTGTTAAAGGTACATTAGTGGTACTTTGTGAATTGGCACTAGCTAATAGATTTTTTTTTGATAAAAGATAGTTCTTGAGATCCCTCCCTTTCAGGCAGAGAGCGAGACTAAAAGCTCTTCATACTCTCCGGAGCTTATTCTTGATTGTGCAAATGGTGTCGGTGCGGAAAAGATGCGTATGTTATGTCGATTTCTTCCAGAAGATGCTCTAAGGATCCAGTTTCGTAACGAAGATGACGTGCTTAACTACAAGGTAGTGATCTGACTGTAAACGAATCTTGTCTTGCTTTACTTATATGGTTGTTATGCTTGTTAATCCCGATTTTCTACCGACAAAAACGACAACATTTTTAGTGTGGAGCGGACTTCGTCAAGATTGAACAAATTCTTCCTATAAACTTTGACGATGTTGATGTGACAGCGAAGTGTGCTTCATTTGATGGTGACGCAGACAGATTGATATATTTCAGGTTGATTCTATATTGTTTGACACCTTGCTGCTTTTGATTGAAAAGAGATAATCCTACCTTCGAAGAAGAGTTTGGGATACTTCTTGATCAGATCTTTCACTTTAAAATCCTAATTTTATTCCCAACAAATCACTGAAATACTAGCTGAAGAATTTCAAGCCTTCAAGAAATGGGAGAAAATGCTGCTTACACAAATAAGCTGTTTTTACTGAGACTTAAAAATTTTGAGAGTGACACTGCTTATTTTTACCGCGACTAGATCACTTAAGCTAGAGTAAATGTTAACTAAGATCTTCAAAGCTCAAAATGTCCATCTGCAATTTTTAAACTCATTTGTAGAGAAGTCTTAATTTACGATTACCATTTGTAGAGCTGCTGGAGATAAAGACAAGGTAACTCTTATGGATGGCGACAAAATTGCAGTGCTAATTGCGAGATATATCAAAGAGGTAAAATCAAACAATTCGCAAACTTGATTAGTTTATATACCTTTTTAGGCTCTAGATGCTGCTGGGATCACCGATCTCACATTGGGCGTTGTGCAGACTGCTTACGCAAATGGAAATTCTACAAAATATCTAAGGGATGTTGCGGTAAGCGGAGCACTGTTTCTCTAGAAATCCTTTTTACGCTGTATCTCGCGCAAATGTGCAGTTACGGTCAAGTACTACTTTTGACAAACAGTCAACATTAAGCATTCGCTGAATGGTCAATGAAGGCTACAAATTTGACATTCGAGTATTTTTCTATTAGGCGCTTGCCTGCAAGTCTTTACTAATGTACACAAAAGTACATAAATATCCAAAGAAGTCATGTTTCTTTTGTAAGCGATTTTCTTGTAACTCTTTTCATATTAAGTTGGTTTTATTATTGTACTGAGCTCATAAAACGCAAATCACTACCTCAAGTTATCATTATAATATGTAAACGGCAGTATAGCCAAGTTAGTCCCAAAATTTGACTAGAAATCAAGCTGAATTGCGAGGAATTCCTACTCTTCGCAACAGTTAACATATATCTATAACGCTTAAAACAAATGCACTCCCTATTTT